AACAACAACAACAACAACAACAACAACAACAACAACAACAACGACAACAACAACAACGCATCAATGAGAACATCATCAACAACAGCTCCAGCGACAACGACGACAAAAATCAACATCTACACATGACGAAACGGCCACGACACCAACAGTCGGAGAGCTTACCCTTGATGAGCGTTGAGAAATGTGTACAGACACACGGAGGGCAATGTTTCGCCATCTACGTTTAACATCTTCGCCGTCTCTTTGAGCATTGTGGCTTTCAGCACTTTCTCGCGATCTTTTCTGCAAACAAACAGACTGGAGATATTCAAGACGATTTTCACGAAGCAGCGGAGTAGAAATTTTTAGTTAACGGATTCAACTCACAAATCAGGAAATGGAACTCTGTCCAGTTTTGGAGCATCGGGATTAAACTCTTTTTTCTTTTTCCCTACAAATTCAACAAAAATACACTTGCTGGAGCAATGAAAAACGAATTTAGAAATGGCTGCGGAAATAGAGGATACCTTGTCCGCCTTCTTTTTTAGCTTTCTTCTTCTATATTTCAAATGAGAAAAAATAAACATTAAGGAACACGTTATAACTCATTTGTTACCACATCATTGTTCATTGGAAAATACCATGTGCAGATTTATCTTCCACCACCACCAATACCATCACCAACACCACCTTGAACCTCGATCCCACCACCACCAATACCAACACCTCCTTGAACCTCGATCTCACCACCACCAATACCATCACCAACACCACCTTGAACCTCGATCCCACCACCACCAATACCATCACCAACACCTCCTCCAATACCACCAGCAACACCACCTCCAACCTCATTCCCACCATCACCAATACCATCACCAGCACAACCACTATCATCACCACCCACCAACACCAGTACCCACCACCACCCACCACCATCATCATGACCCACCACCACCATCACCCCTACCATCACCACCATGTTTCATTGTTATGTCCTACCTCACCTTAGGTTTATCTTTCTCCTCGTCGTCCTCTGGGTCATCTTCTGGTAAGACCACACCCAGATCTGGTTCTTGTGCAATACCATGCAACACTTTGCCCTTGTTTGCTGTCAAAGAATCTTTGTTAGTAGTACACACGTAAAAATTGAGAAAATCAACAACTTGTTGCAAGTTGATATCGACAGGCCTGAACAAGGTTGTGCGGCCCACTATGAACAGTATTGTCAACATGTTGTTACAACACTGTTCAACTGTAACAACTTGGAACAACATGGTTGACAACTTGTTCATAGTTGGCCGCACAACATTGTTCACGCCTGTCGATATCAACTTGCAACAACCTGTGCGTTTTTAGCCGTATAGCACCACAACGACCGAATAACTGACCAACCATCTCTTTGACCGCGTATTTTGAATGTGGAGCTACTGTAGCCCCTAAGACTATGACGGTAGCGTCTACAGCCATGTCTCTGTCAACTGTTGTTTGTTTACCTGCCTTATAACCTCCTTGGCAGGTATCTCTAGGGAATCGGGGTGGATCGGAAAAGAATTTGGCACCTAAACCCATAGACATGTCTGCAGAGGAAGCTAGTGACATGAAGCTAGAAAACAAACCTTCATTGGTTGGTTCCCCAACAACAGCACCAGCTGCTGAAGTCACTGCATCGTTACTTCGAGGACGACCATCAAACACTGTAAAAACAACACAATTTCAACAGTGAATACGGAAAATATGTGTGAATCTCAAACAACTCTATATGTAGCAATTACGTACCATCAAACTGCAAATGCTGTTGAATGAGGTTTAGAACCAAATTACTCTGATTTTCCTAAAACATAAAGAATAAAACTCTATTTACACTGAATATAGCTCCATTGGTTTTAAAAACAAGTCCTTGTTTTGATGATATATGTTTTCAATCGGAGAACTTTCTACCTGGAGTTTTTTCTTCAAAGCCTGGTACGACTCTCTAGACAGCTTGATCACAAATTTATTACTCCTGAAAAGTAACAAAGTCAAGCCACATAAACCTCTGGGGCTGTTTCTTCAAGTTGGATTAGCGCTAACACAGGGTTAAAATACATCATGTCATTTTGGTTTGTGTACAAACCTAAGAGTCAGCATCAAGTCATTGACTTCAACATGTTCTTTGTGAGTCACAGATGCAAGTTTTAAGATATCTTCTTGATAGTAATCTTCCTGACTATCACGAAACTTTGTTAAAAATGATTTGGCTATGAAAATAAACATGGAAATTCTTATGATATATCATAAAATTAAATTCATGTTTTTACATGAAATATGAAATTGTATATAAACTTGAACACATTTTTTAGAAAGACAAACAGATTAGACTTATTAACCAACGAGGATCAAGTATAAAAAAGTGAAGACAAAAAGTATATGTAGAAAAAGAAAGCTATTAATACCTTGTTTTTCATGGCCTTGATAAATCAAATCCAAGTACATGTGAACAAACAATGGGTACAGGATTGTGCCAAGTTCCGGCTGAAATTCATGCACAATTATTGGTAAAAAATTCCATATTCATGAGAAATTTCAAAAAGAGAATAGACGCTTCCGGAACATACTTAGCCTTGGCTATAGAGCCTCGTTTTAAGAATTGAGTTATTAGCTTTACCACCCTTTATGTTGTGAGTTGCTGATGACCTAGTTATATAAAGGTCTCTAATACATATGATTTTGTAAATATGTCCATCTGCAACAAGATAAAGGACTCTAAACCCAAGCCATGGCCAAGTACTTCCCAGAAGGGTGTATTTTAAGGAAATTTTGATTATAACAGTTCACCTTGTATACATCCAGAGATTTTTCAATGTATTCCTGGATGCTAAGAAAATACGATGATATTACTTAATGACTTTACAAACAAATTAATTGCAATAATTCAAAGTTCACAATATTAACATTGTACCCTGTGTAGTAGTGTTCATACTTGGTAGGATCTCCTTCACTGAAATATTTAAAACAATCATTTATTATCTAAATCTTGCTCTTAAACTTTTTAACTAGATGCCTTTTAATATAGATGATATACAAAGTACTTAGTTGTCGGCCTCATTTGAACACAAACACGACAATGAATTATTCATTAAGCCAATGAGCCACAATGTGCCCCAGTGCCGACTACATTTTTTTTACTTGTCTAACGCCAGACGATTTTACTTGTCCATGGGGATGCTCTGCAGCTTAATGAGTTACTAAGTGCCAGTGTTCTCCCCTTGACAAGTAAAATCGTCTGGCGTTAGACAGAGTCACAGAATAAAATAATAAAGAAGGGCGCAATGCGACTGTATGGGTTAACTAGACACATGGGCAGTAAAATCATCTGGCATTAGACAGAGTAAAATAATAAAGCAGAGCGCAATGCGACTCAATGGGTTAAACAATTATAGTAACTGGTGGTAAACTTGAAAGATTTTGTTGGCACCTCACTTGGTATGAATATGGGAGTAGATGGTTACCCAAATGATGATATATATATATATATATATATACTTTTATACCTATGCAGGAGCGGTTGCGAAAAATGCCAAACTAGGTCCTCTGGCAGGAATTGAACCTGCCCTGGATTCTGGTGCAGTGCTCTAACCAACAAAGCTACAGAGCCCAGTTGGCAAGGAAAAGTTAGTGTGGTTATTTAATACCAAATATATATTACCTGCTATATTCTGACAATGCACTACTGATGTCAGAGTTTGCTACAATGTTTTCTTCAATGCCTAAAATGGAGTACCATTATTGAATATTTAACAATTATTGAATGAGGTTCGATTGCAGACTGATTGCCGAACATGACATTTTGTGGACCAGCACATGACACAGTTTTGACCAATCGGCAAACAGAAAAATTGAACTTTGACACTAACTATATAACAATACTTTTTATTTAATCATATATCTTACACTCTACTGAATCTAGGAAGTTGTGCAACTATTAAAATTTCCACCAAGATTAATACCAACGTTTGAAATTTCTAACCTGTACAAGACACTTCACGTCTTAAAGCTTCTTCCGTTCCCTAAATCAAATCAATTGCTTGATGAACACTTTGTCACTGATGATGCACTTTCACGCCAACACAACACAACATTGACATATTCTCTTAACACATGCAATTATCGCAAAATTACTCTATAAGTAACGTCTTTATATTAATTACCTTTAAATTCTGTTTCTTAAGAAACTGTAGGACCGCCAACAAAGTTTGTTTATCTGTATCTGTTTGCTCTTTTTTCACATTTCCAGCTGAATTCGCCGCCATATTGTATTTATCATCGAATGACCAGGGGCTAAGACCTCAGTGGCTAAGACCATAGACCAGTGGACCAGTAGCCTGCATGGCGGTTAGTGGACCAGAGGCACTTGTCTTTTATATACACTTGTCTACGTGCATGGTGATCGCTAGATAGTATACTTCAAAATATAAGGTTTCCGTCTTTATAACGTAGAAAAAACTATCCTAACACAAAACTAAACCCAAACCCTAATACTAACCCTCGCCCTAACCCTATTCTAACCCTAACCTAAACCCTAATCCAACCCGAACTTATTTTAAAAATTGATATAAAAACAGAAACCTTATTTTGAAGTATACTATCTAGCAATTGCCCTACGGTGCATCGACTCAACTATAAACTAGAAGTTACTATCGCAGGCAAGTGCTGCGGTTTTAAACCAAAGTCAAACTTAGAAAATTTCGGGCCATTTTTCGGTTTTAGATCGACTTAGAAATTTTCAAAACGCGTATTGATGCAAAACGTTTTGGTACAGGGGAATTTTAATGCACATTTTGATATAAAAAATGCTTAGCCGTGTTTAATATACTTTCTACTACGCTTAGCCGTTCGCCGGCTTCGTGATAGAGTAAACTAAAACTAGAGGTTACTATCGCACGGCAAGTGCCGCGTTAAATCCTTGCGAAATTAGACAATATGGAATGATTAACTTAATCTTTTCGAGCCAGTTTCAACATGGCAATATTTTCTTATACATGTAAACGGATTTTGCACATAGAGGTATAAAAAGAATAAAAAATAGTCGGAATAAATAAAGGGAAAAAAATATTGTGAGTCTGCTACAAAACATGAGTTCAACTGGATTTGAACCCAAATACTTATCGAGACAGGCTAAACGACATACCACTAAGCCATCAGTGGACGACTTGCAATACTGGTAAAATTAAAAACGTAAGTACATTGTTGTGACCTGCTCATCTCATGAGGTGAATCTCATTTCGGGCAAAATGAAATAAAAATTGTTATAGACCGACAGAGAAAGGTTCAAAACGGATATTGATGCAGAAAGTTTTGGCACAGGGGAATTTTAATGCGCATTTATAAGTAAATAATGCTTAGCCGTGCTTAGCCGTGTCTTAATAGCGAGCTTAAGATCTACAACGCGAATTTACGACGCGGACGTCGCATTAAACAAGTTTTATTTTAAAACGATGGCAAATACCATTAAAATATTTGTATCACAGTAAATAAAATGAAATTATACTGGAAAAAATGTACAACATAACAGAGGCTAGCAATATATTAAGAAGATATTTTTTATCATAAGTTTTTACGACTTCTATGACGACGAATCTTTGCAAATATCACGTCGTCTCGGATGGTAGTTTTGGCGGGAAAATGTGCATTCGTAACAATAGTCTATAAAGCCTGGTTTCTATCATTTCATATGGCTGTTAACGTGTCATCACAGTGTCACAAAGCTCAAAGAAATAAACTCTGACAACTCTGACAAGGCTTACACGCGAAAACTAGACTTCGGTAAGCACGTCCGCGTCGTAAATTCGCGTTGTAGATCTTAAGCTCGCTATTATACTTTCTACTACGCTTAGCCGTTCGCCGGCTTCGTGGATCGACGTGGATCGTGTCAATTAAAACTAGAAGTTACCATCGCAAGGCAAGTGCTGCCTTTTAAACCAAATCAAATTTAGAAAATTTCGGCCCATTATTCGGTTTAGATCGACTTAGAAATGTTCAAAACATTTATTGATGCAAAAAGTTTTGGTACAGGGCAATTTTAATGAGTATTTTGATATAAAAAGTGCTTAGCCGTCCTTAGCCGTGTTTTAATATACTTTCTACTAGCTTAGCCGTTCGCCGGCTTCGTGCATCGACTCAACTCTGAACTAGAAGTTACTATCGCAAGGCAAGTGCTGCCTTTTAAACTAAAGTCAAATTTAATAAATTTCGGGCCATTTTTCGGTTTAGATCCACTTAGAAATGTTCAAAACACTTATTGATGCAAAAAATATTGGTACAGGGCAATTTTAATGCGTATTTTGATATAAAAAATGCTTAACCGTCCTTAGCCGTGTTTTAATATACTTTCTACTAGCTTAGCCGTTCGCCGTCTTCGTGCATCGACTCGACAATAAACTATAAGTTACTATCGCAAGGCAAGTGCTGCGGTTTTAAACCAAAGTCAAACTTAGAAAATTTCGGGCCATTTTTCGGTTTAGATCGACTTAGAAATGTTCAAAACACTTATTGATGCAAAAAGTATTGGTACAGGGCAATTTTAATGCGTATTTTGATATAAAAAATGCTTAGCCGTCCTTAGCTGTGTTTTAATATACTTTCTACTAGCTTAGCCGTTCGCCGTCTTCGTGCATCGACTCGACTATAAACTATAGAAGTTACTATCGCAAGGCAAGTGCTGCGGTTTTAAACCAAAGTCAAACTTAGAAAATTTCGGGCCATTTTTCGGTTTAGATCGACTAAGAAATGGTCAAAACGCATATTGATGCAAAACGTTTTGGTACAGGGGAATTTTAATGCGCATTTTGATATAAAAAATGCTTAGCCGTGCTTAGCCGTGTTTTAATATACTTTCTACTACGCTTAGCCGTTCGCCGGCTTCGTGATAGAGTCAACTAAAACTAGAGGTTACTATCGAACGGCAAGTGCCGCGTTAAATCCTTGCGAAATTAGACAATATGGAATGATTAACTTAATCTTTTCGAGCCAGTTTCAACATGGCAATAATTTCTTATACTTGTAAACGGATTTTGCACATAGAAGTATAAAAACAATAAAAAATAGTTAGAATAAATAAAGGGAAAAAATATTGTGAGTCTGCTACAAAACATGAGTTCAACTGGATTTGAACCCAAATGCTTATCGGGACAGGCTAAACGACATACCACTAAGCCATCAGTGGACGACTTGCAATACTGGTAAAATTAAAAACCCAAGTACATTGCTGTGACCAGCTCATCTCATGAGGTGAATCTCATTTCGGGCAAAATGAAATAAAAATTGTTATAGACTGACAGAGAAAGGTTCAAAACGGATATTGATGCAGAAAGTTTTGGCACAGGGGAATTTTAATGCGCATTTATAAATAAATAATGCTTAGCCGTGCTTAGCCGTGTCTTAATATACTTTCTACAACGCTTAGCCGTTCGTCGGCTTCGTGGATCGACGTGGATCGTGTCAATTAAAACTAGAAGTTACCATCGCAAGGCAAGTGCTGCCTTTTAAACCAAATCAAATTTAGAAAATTTCGGGCCATTTTTCGGTTTAGATCGACCTAGAAATGTTCAAAACATTTATTGATGCAATAAGTTTTGGTACAGGGCAATTTTAATGAGTATTTTGATATAAAAAGTGCTTAGCCGTCCTTAGCCGTGTTTTAATATACTTTCTACTAGCTTAGCCGTTCGCCGGCTTCGTGCATCGACTCAACCATAAACTAGAAGTTACTATCGCAAGGCAAGTGCTGCCTTTTAAAATAAAGTCAAATTTAATAAATTTCGGGCCATTTTTCGGTTTAGATCGACTTAGAAATGTTCAAAACGCATATTGATGGAAAACGTTTTGGTACAGGGGAATTTTAATGCGCATTTTGATATAAAAAATGCTTAGCCGTGCTTAGCCGTGTTTTAATATACTTTCTACTACGCTTAGCCGTTCGCCGGCTTCGTGACAGAGTCAACTAAAATTAGAGGTTACTATCGAACGGCAAGTGCCGCGTTAAATCCTTGCGAAATTAGACAATATGGAATAATTAACTTAATCTTTTCGAGCCAGTTTCAACATGGCAATAATTTGTTATACTTGTAAACGGATTTTGCACATAGAAGTATAAAAACAATAAAAAATAGTTAGAATAAATAAAGGGAAAAAATATTGTGAGTCTGCTACAAAACATGAGTTCAACTGGATTTGAACCCAAATGCTTATCGGGACAGGCTAAACGACATACCACTAAGCCATCAGTGGACGACTTGTAATACTGGTAAAATTAAAAACACAAGTACATTGTTGTGACCTGCTCATCTCATGAGGTGAATCTCATTTCGGGCAAAATGAAATAAAAATTGTTATAGACCGACAGAGAAAGGTTCAAAACGGATATTGATGCAGCAAGTTTTGGCACAGGGGAATTTTAATGCGCATTTATAAATAAATAATGATTAGCCGTGCTTAGCCGTGTCTTAATATACTTTCTACTACGCTTAGCCGTTCGCCGGCTTCGTAGATCGACGTGGATCGTGTCAATTAAAACTAGAAGTTACCATCGCAAGGCAAGTGCTGCCTTTTAAACCAAATCAAATTTAGAAAATTTCGGGCCATTTTTCGGTTTAGATCGACTTAGAAATGTTCAAAACACTTATTGATGCAAAAAGTTTTGGTACAGGGCAATTTTAATGCGTATTTTGATATAAAAATTGCTTAGCCGTCCTTAGCCGTGTTTTAATATACTTTCTACTAGCTTAGCCGTTCGCCGGCTTCGTGCATCGACTCAACTATAAACTAGAAGTTACTATCGCAAGGCAAGTGCTGCGGTTTTAAACCAAAGTCAAACTTAGAAAATTTCGGGCCATTTTTCGGTTTAGATCGACTTAGAAATGTTCAAAACGCATATTGATGCAAAACGTTTTCGTACAGGGGAATTTTAATGCGCATTTTGATATAAAAAATGCTTAGCCGTCCTTAGCCGTGTTTTAATATACTTTCTACTAGCTTAGCCGTTCGCCGGCTTCGTGATAGAGTCAACTAAAACTAGAAGTTACTATCGCACGGCAAGTGCCGCGTTAAATCCTTGCGAAATTAGACAATATGGAATGATTAACTTAAGCTTTTCGAGCCAGTTTCAACATGACAATATTTTCTTATACTTGTAAACGGATTTTGCACATAGAGGTATAAAAAGAATAAAAAGTAGTCAAAATAAATAAAGGGGAAAAAATAATGTGAGTCTGCTACAAAACATGAGTGCAACTGGATTTGAACTCAAATGCTT